AGAGAGAGAGAGAGAGAGAGAGAGAGAGAGAGAGAGAGAGAGAGAGAGAGAGAGAGAGAGAGAGAGAGTTACTTTCTTTCCAAATACTTTAATCCCGCAGATTCTACCGCAGTAAGTTACTAACCACATTTTCCGATGACCAAGAATCGTCATCATGAACAGAACGACAGAAGGCAAAACTCTTCGGCAACCGACCCCTGTCCAGTAGCTTGGGAAATACTTTTCAAGCACTGAAGGAAATCACCGGAAGCTTCTTTTTCCACCAGCTGAGGCCCTGAGGGCCTGAGGGACAAACCGAGCTCGAACATCGAAACCCGAGGAACTCGTCCCACAGGACCCACACACACTGTTCACTCGTTGCCATAAACCGGTGGTAGTGAAACCAGACCGAAGCCAAAAAAACATACGTACGCATGCTGCAAAGTATCGTAATTTGTAAGCCAGTACTCGCACTCGGCGCACCCAGGCTGATCCAGCAGATAGACACCTGACAGGCTGACCGATGGTCAGGGTGAAGAAATTAGGAACGTGGGCTTCTAAGATTATAAACCCAAAAAGCGGATTAATCTCTAATTAGACTCGGATTGGTTAAATTGAAACATAGTTCATCATTTAATCGAATCGGTGCTCATAACAACGTCTGCATCCTACTAAATTAAATACTTGACCAGCCGGTCGACGCTCCATATCCGCTTGTAAACGTCCACACGGATCGCCAGTCGTAGTAAAGACTCGAGAGAATCGGAGAGATTGTTCGCAGCTTTTATGATCCAGACCTGTCAACGGGAGGCGCAGTGCAATTCCAAGTGGGCAAAGCTATTTCCGCAATTTTCCGAAACCAGCCCGCGCAAAATTCAGCTACTAGAAGAGACAGAGATCGACTCGTCACGCTCATCTGGACCAGGCGAGAAGGATATCATGAGAAGCAAACGTAGACTACGGCAGAAGTCCAAACAAAGCGACTACAGGCAAACACGCGCGCACACGCGCACACACACACACACACACACAGAAGGGGGTGGGGGGTGAAGAGGGGTGGGTGGGAGGGGAGAAGGAAACCTACATGCGGAAAAAGAAGGATTTTTGAAAAACAAGAGAAAGGAGGGACACACGGCCCACAATCATTCATGGCGGCAAACGACAAACAGAGGAAAGCAGTACGCAATGAAATTGGAAAACAAATCAACGATCAAAATCTACTCTTAATTAGTTCTAGTACATCTACTAGAGTTGTCGATCCATCAGATTCAGAGTTCAAACTCAAATCCTCCTCCTGTCCAGTTCCGTATCGTAACTGTGACACTACCCCGTTCCTTTTTGAGGGAGGAACGGCCAGCCTGAGTCGCCTCCACGCCCCTCCAGTTGAATTGACATCAGACAATGTACGTGGGATGAGCGCGCTTCCTTGCAGGCTTGCACCAGCAACGGCCGTCATGCTTGTTCCCCCTCCTCCCTTTCATCGCCTAAACTGATAAAAATAACTTCATCCAGATTCCAGACCAACAACGCTTTGGCCAACCGGTATAATAGTACAGCGTTCGCATTACCAATGGAAGTTGTCACTTCCCATTCTCCTACATTCCTCCTGCTGCCAGATAATAACGGTAAAAACTAATAATTTGAGCGCCTCCCATTCTCTGCTGGCGAATCCAGGTGCGGCACGTACAAAGAGAAATTGATAGGTGGGTAAGGGTATTCGCGATAGCAGCAGCGTTTAGTGAAGTCATATCTAAAAATAACGTCACAGAACACTTGTTCTAAATTCTTCCAGTTTCGCCGACTAGCAAGCACACACGCACACACACACACACACACACACACACACACACACACACAGAGTCACACACACAGACACAGAGTCACACACACGACACACACGCAAGCATGCACAGACACAGAAGAGTTCGCTTTCTGTCTATTCCCCAACCCTCACAAACCCCCCTTATCGCCCACTCTGCGCACTCTTCCTCTTCACTTTTCCCGTCGTCAAAATCAGTAAGATCCGGTCGTCTTCCATATCAACCAAACCGCGTGCCTATCAACGCTCAGGAAAGTGCTCCCCTATCAGCCGACTTAGTTGTACCGGCCCGACTTCATTATCGTCATTGTGAAGCACTGCTCTCGCACCGAGCGACACCACTCACAAAATAGCGAGTGCTGGACGACGCATACCAGGCGTAGGAGGCAAAGCAAACGCGTCATCAGCGACATAAGAAGGCAGGAAGAGAACCAATGGAATCCTCGTTTAGAGGACAACGTTGACCAGAAAAACCAACAGACTAGACGAACGACAAATTTCAGAGCGAAGAAAAAAGAGCAAAACACGTCAACCGATGTGTTTTCCTTAATCTCAAGCATTCAGTCAGCCGTCCATCAATTAGTCTGTCTGTCCAACCAGCCAGAGCTAGCCGAGAAGCAAGCTAACACGTTTCATCTTTCTGCTACCCTTCCTGGATTCCTCCCAATTCCGCTTCCTTCGTGTTGCATTTCCACATTCTCTCTCTCTCTCTCTCTCTCTCTCTCTCTCTCTCTCTCTCTCTCTCTCTCTCTCTCTCTGTGTGTGTGTGTGTGTGTGTGTGTGTGTGTGTGTGTGCATGTGTGTGTGTGTGTGTGCGTGCCTGTTTGCGTGTGTGTGCGCGTGTGCGTGTGTGTGTGCGTGTGTGCGCTTGTGTGTGTGCGTGTGTGTGCGCTTGTGTGCGCGTGTGTGTGTGAAAATGTGTGTGACTGTATCTCTTGCATATGAAGAGCATCCCGACGAATTGACAGAGAGCTGAAGGAAGTGACAAATCGAAGCCACGACGGCCCCTCTTTTCTTTCACTTCTTCTTAAGACGTCTTTGTTATCAGTATACTATAATAAAGACAGATATAGGTATATAGCATCCATCCATTTCAATCCGTGAGTTTCCGATGCGGGTTCATTCGCAGTAGTACCTTGTTATCAATTCCAAATTCCAATAGACAGTACTCAATCCTTTCATGTCCATCTTCATTTGCATCTATTCCTGTCCAATCAACGACCGCTCGTACTGCTTGGATTTCCATCCATTCACTCACGAGTTCGGGTCGCCAGCAAGAACCAGCGTGAAATACGACTCCAAAACGTCAGATACCTAACCCTTCACACCCATCTCGTGATTCTCTAACGCCTAGCAATTCATCCCTTCACAAAGACCTACCTCCAGAATTTCGCCGACAAGTCTCGGTTCCTTCCATATCCCGTACAATGTACAGTCACTCTCTGTCCCTGATGGGGAGTCGGACCCCATCCTTCTCTCAAGACCTGCTTCTCGACACCCATGGCTCCCAGGATATCGGTGCGTGCGCTCGACGACAACCACTGCCCCCTTTCTCCGCTCAACCAGCCAATCGAGATGGTCGAGTTCCAACCAATCTCGATGATAGTTTGATTCCGATTCTCCTAGCTCGTTCCTACGAGCTCCCTGCAGGAGCAGCAATAACGAAGCGCAAGTTCTGCTTCGACTGCTCTGCCTCTTTCACAGGACGTCACGGTAGCAATTCAAAACGTATACTGCTGAGACATGCTGACCGCATCTACCTACCAATGTATGTATCAGTCCGTCTATTTATAGCGAGAGCGATCATTCGGCGAAGGCCGCACCTCACTGCAGTACGACGCCTTTCCACGTACCGAACAACAATCGAATCGAAAGCTTTTCGTTGAATTCCTGCTGCCCGCGCAGCTGCAGAAGCACTCGAGCCACGATCGTTCTGACGACCTGAAGTTTTCGCCGCACAACAGCAAGGGCCTCGCCACACCACTCTCCAAATGTGAAAAAGACAAAAATGTGGCGGGTGCATCTGGCCATGTCCTAGCGGGAAGTTCAGTGTCTTTTTGCACATTTCGAGAGTGGTGTGGCGATGCCCCAACCCGACCGGCTACTTCCGTGGTGAAATGAACCGCGGCCTTCTGATAATGTACTCGCACTACCTCTATCGTTAAGGTATCTGATCGCATTTGTGGCCACGGATGGATGTATATGACCCCAATTACGACCATCAATAAGCAGAGAAGTCCTAGTGTGAATACGCCCTGATTTCTGTTCAGGGCGAACTGTCTCTGAACCCCGCGGGACCGGTTTCCCTTCCCCGCCATCCCGCCGCGGGACTGGTTTTCAAGTCCCGCCAGCCGGGCCGTGACCTCTTCTGTCATCTGCGAGCCCCCTGCTGTCATTTCCCGCCCTTGGGGCTGCCGTCTAAAACCCGCCAGGCAGAGGAATTGAAAATCGAGAAGAGCCCCGCCCAAAGCTGCATGACGCAGCAATAGCCGTCGATGGCATTTGGCCCAAACTGGCCTTTCCAGCATGGGTTGGTGATGTATCGACGCGGCAAGAGACGAAAACGAGGTTCGAAACCAAAAACGAAAAGTGGTCGGCGGCCGGAAAATTGAAAATTGAATTGAATTGAATTTGGGGCAGTACTTCCAACCACACGTGCTGGGCGCATGCGCGGCAAAAGCGCGGTCCCCACCCACGGGGAATGTTTTTGCCCTTTTGGCGCGGCGAAGGACCAGAACTTCCTTGGGCGGGCGACGGCCTTGAGATATATCATCATTGAACTCTTTTTTTTTTTTTTTTTTTTAATCATCAGCATTGAACTGACCAACCCAAGTAATTCACACAACGATTTTATTTCTTCCTTTTCTTTTCATTTGATTGCACTTCAACCTTTTTGGGGGTGCCATCTGCTAGGCCAGTTGCTCTGGTTTTATTTCTGGTGATCTTGATTCGAACCCGGGTCTGTTCTTGTGTGAACCAAGTGAGGTCATGCTCACCGTAGCTCTGTCTTAAATGCATCCGACCGCATTGACGGCCAGACCTGGATGCATCTGACCGCAATTGCATCCACAAATAAGTAAAAAAGTCCTAGTGTGAGCTCGGCCGCAAAATTTCGAGTATCCCAACTTGGCAATTTTTCCCTCTTCGAATGCAAAAAGAGATCAACACGCCCCCGGCATCCCTAGCTCCTCTCACAAGCACTTCGGGGAGCGAATCTGGCAGTGATTCTGGTCAGTTATGTCACAGAAAGTCCGAGCTGGAGCTAGCCCTTACGTAATGGCGCTCACCCGCGCTCTGTAGGCTCCAACGTGCTTTGTTGTCCTGTCCTGTCGCCCGCGCCTCACTAGGTAGCCCCCTCGCCACCTGCCTTGACTTGGAAATGCCCAGCCGCGGCAAGTGAGAGACGATCACACGCGACCACCGCGGCCGACACTGCGATTTGCGTCGCGGCTGGCGGAGGTTGTCCCCCGACCAGCGAGCTCGCCCGCTCCCGCTCCCACTCCAACAAGCCCAGCGGGGTGGAAAGTAACGAAGCGATTTGTCAAAGAAAAAAAGGAAAAAAAACGAAAAAGAAAGAAAGCAACGAAGCATCCAGCGGCCTAGCTCAGCGGGTAAGGCACGCAAGTGGCATTCAGGAGGTCTCGGGTTCAATCCCCATACTCATAGGGGAAGGGGACCGGAGGGGAGGCACAGTGACTGGCCCATCAAAGAAGCTCGGTCCGGTCCTGATGCTCTACTGGCTGACCCCTGGCCGGTATCGCCCACCAGGTGCGGCTCCGGAGCGCATGTTCCCTCGTTGGACGGATGTGGCTGCAATAGAATGCGGTGGCCTCAGAAATCAACCAGCGGAGTGGCTCAAGAGCTTACTCCCACTAGGGGCTTTGCCCCGGACGTACGTGAGCAAAATTGCGCCTTCCCGTGCATGCATCTGACCGAAATTACGGTCAGAGACGCTCAGCTTATGAGCATTATGAGAGCAAATTGAGGAAGCTGCCTTTTTTCTTCTTTTTTAATCTGCCTTCTCCTCATCAGGGCAGAGCTATATGTTTTTCTCTTCCCAGGTCATCAACCTGGGCTGCTCGGTTGCACCAGTCGCAGGAGACGGGCAGGGGGAGTAATGGGAAAGGAGCGGCAGCAGCATAGGTTACAGTCTCGTACCTTCTTCCCCCGAATACAACGTACAGTCTTCATAGCTGTATGTGAGGCATGTTTCAGTCTAGATACAGTTATAATGACCTTACGTTGTATTCGGGGGAAGAAGGCAGTATTGATAGGTTAGTGTTATGCGGAATTGTTAGATGGAATTGTGTTTGGGCTTTGAGGCTTGTGGTTGTTGTTGTTGTTGTTGTTGTTTCTTTTTTTTTTTCAATCTAAATGTCCATTCATTCCAGGACCTCACAATTCAACCCGGAGTTATCCCGACAGCATTAGTCTGTTTTGCTCACAGCTATCAGAGCTGGGTCCACCACTGCAACAATTCATTGGGTCTCCAATTCTAACAGTCTATTCATCATTGTGTCTGATAACCAGGCCTCTTACACTATTTATCTTCCTTCTCTCTCTCTTTTCTGATTAACCAAACTAACAACCATTTCTTCACATCTCTGCAAAGGCGTCCACATTCAGGCGTTGAGGTAGCTCGAAGCTGCTAGTGGGACTTCGCCCCCGATGAGGAGAAGGCACCTTTAAAAAAAAAAAAAAAAAAAAAAAAAAAAAAGAAAGATTCCTATCTACGGCATCACTCCCGACACACACCTGAGGGATCACATGGGTGCTCGCTCACCCGATGAAGTGGCTCTTTTTGTTTTCCTCCAAAAAAAAAATTCTAGAAGCGGCCTTTTCATCGATCGACTGCCCGGTGCAACAGCCGCTCATCTACGAACCGGTCCACCCCCGCTGCCCGCTCATGTGGCTCGTGGCCGCCACGAACGAAAGAGGAAACGTGATCAATAAGCTGGGTCCGCACGTCAGCTGGCCCTCCGCGCGTGCTTGACCGAGGTTGTAACCCCACAGCGTCAACATCCTCGAGAATCACGACAGCGCCAGCCGCGCCTGCTGTCAATGGACGGCACAGCGATAACTCCTCCGCGCGCCTGGACAGCTTCGACAGCCAGACGGAGAAAGCTCCACCGCACACTTCACCTCCATCTGTCGTTCGTCTGGGCTTTGCTTGGCTTGTCGGTTGGTTGGCTCGGCGGGAAGGCGGCCGGCCGAGGCTGACTGGTGGGCGCACCTATCCGTCCGCTTTCCCCCGCGCCCCCTCCTGCCCACAAAATGTGGAGTACAGGCCTCGCCGCACCACTCAATAAATGTGAAAAACACAAAAATATATGGGTGCATCGGTCGACATTTTTGCAGGAGATACATTCTCATTTTGGCGACGCCCTCCTGAGGAAGCCGACAGAGAATCGAGCAGGCTCCACCAGTCACGAAATTGCCGGATCACTGGACTGAGGTATTATCATCGGACTAACCAGCCCAGGTAAACTCAATCTTGTGGCTGAAGTGACTGCCAAGTGGCTTGCTGTATATTATAACTTGTAGCAGACCCGGCAGATCGCTGCTGTTTTTTCTGGTGCTGCTGCTGTTTTTTCTGGTTCTGCTTTTGTTTCTTTTTCTGTTCCTTCTGCTCTGGTTTCACTGCTTCACAGCTGATTTTTGCTGTTCAGGCGCCCTGAGGATAGTTGGTGGATGGCAGGGGCCCTTGGGATGGAGGAAGACTTCACTGGTGCCCCCCAGTGACCCCCCCCCCCACTACCCGGCCTTGCTGCAGGTTAGGATTGGATATGGGACGCTGCACCCGGTTTCCAGCACAACGGCGCCACTTTCAATGATGTACTGTATTACATTGATGTATTCAAGGGACGCTGGACCCGGTTTCCAGCAGGTGATGCTCCCCACCAATAGGTGGAGCGGCCCGCCAGGCAAAGCCTCAATCGCGGTGGTTCTTTACCACCACCAGGATAAAGGCCTTGCACATGGGCCTTTCAAAAAAAAAAAAAAAAAAAAAAAAAAAGGAGTATTGACGTGAGGCTGGGATGGGAGGTGGTCTCATATTCCTGGACACCCATGGCTCACAGCTCCAAGTGATTACTGTGCACTCTTGATTGGCCTCTACAACACCCTGGACATTAAAAAAAAGAAAAAAGAAAAAAAAAAAAGAGGAAGTTCTGAGATAAATTTTATACGATCCGCAGACCAGGGCAAACTTAACCCATACCCAACGGTCCCAGAGGTCTATCATTTCGTCAATTATCTGTATATCCAGCTTCTTGTGGAACAAAATCCCAACCCCACCCCTGGTACCCTGCTCTCCACAGTCACCCCTTGCCGGACTCCAGAACTGGGGCCCTGACCACCAGTTCCCTAACTCAGTCCGTCGAGATTCGTCTAACTTCGATTCTTGGATACAAAGCATGTCAATTTTATTGTTATGAAGCCAGGTTTTTAACCGGCTCCTTTTATGTCTCCCACCTGAGTCACACAGGCCTCTAAAATTCCGTGAAACAATTTTCAAATTTCGATTATTAGGCATTTGTCATGTCGAGGCCAGGTTTGCCATGGATCTGGCCTCTTGCAAAGCGAGAAACATCACTCTGTTTTCTTCTTCGAGTCTCTCCCTGGCCTGCCAAGGATGATGGTCCCTCGAGCAAGGGGGCCCGCAGAATATCTGCAAAAGACTCGTCCAAAATGATTCCCCTGTGCACCTCAGCTACATTCAGCCATTTCGCAATGGATTTGGCTGTACAGCCTTTGACCCAGATTCGATCCAAATCCTCATTTAAATCCGAGTCCAAAAGGTCCAGGGAG